CCAAAAATCAAGTCTGCGCTGAAAGGGACCAGGTTCGAGTCCGTGGATGCAGTGAAAGCAAAAGCGACGCAACTCTTGAAGAGCATAACACAAGATGACCTGCAGCACTGCTTCCAACAGTGGAAAATTCGCATGGAGCGGTGTAGGGATCGGGGAGGGGACTACATTGAAGGGGATAACATTTCGACTGTCTGATTTTTTTTTAATAAAGGGTTAGAGCATGAATCCGGTTTCTTTATTGCCACACCTTGCAGAGACACCTGAAGATGGCACATTAGTCCTGAAACATGTAGTGTGGAAGTGAAGAATAAGGTGAAAAAGTGTATACACTGTAAGACGGTCAGCATAAACCATGGACATATTTCACATTGGTAGGTCACTAGCATTGTTCCTCAGTCGTATCATTTTTTTTTTCATGTTGGTTATTTAATGACACTGTCAGTATTGAAACTGTATAGCATCAATGATAGAGTGATTAATGAATACGGAGCAGTTGGTGAAAAGAGAATTGGCAGAGGAGACTGGAGTACTCTGAGAAAACCTACCCCAATGCTACTTTGTTGAATACTGACCCCACATCACCTAACCTGGAATCATGCCCAGGCTGCCACAGTGGGAAGCTGACAACTAACTGCCTGAACTGGAGAATGTCCTGCATCAGTTCGATTGTTAAAAATTTGATATGAGAATTTCTACATCTAAGATCTAAACAGTAAATAGTTGAAGGGCCCCTGTGCCTTGAGCTGGAAATTCAAAATAGTGAGTTTAAAAATGTGAAAGTTGAAATGACAAGTAGTGAAGTGATGCAAATACAAGTTGAACAGTAGGTAATTAAAATAATCAGAATATTCAGATGCGCAGATGATACTGTATGGAAGCACAGTACAAAGTGTTATTATGCCTGTTCTGAAACAATACCACAAAAGCAAAACAAATATTGAGAACAGCAGAAATAAGTATATTTTTTTGGGGGGGGGTTTCAGTAGCTAGGCTGTATAGTGTCAGGCAAATGCGTTACGATGGAAGTGATCAGAGCAACAGTAGAAGAGCTGTTTTTTCTGTTGGTCTGTGAAGAGGGGTTATCAGTGGGACAAGTTCAGAGTTTAGTCAGTTGGCAGAGAATTGTAACAGAGTCAGTTGAAAAGAATTTGTAAGTGAGTCTGTGAAGAGAAGACTTTAGTTGGTGCAGTAAACACAGAAGCTGAAGAATCTCCACTATTACGAGTATAAGCCATTACCAGGGAACTACTGGTGATGACACAGCAGCAGATATAAAAACTGCTGATTTGTCAAGTATGGAGATTAGCGATGGCACTATAATTAAGTGTATAGTAACAAGTTGTGTGTAGTGGCCAGTAAATCCAATTTCCAATCCAAACCCTGTCGATAGTCACTCCTTAAAATGACCCGAGGAGGGTTAGGTTGACACCTGCTGGTGAAGCTAAATGTGAACCTGCGCTGCAAGTTGATTGTGTCCGGAAAAGACATTGTGGGTGTTGTAGTATAGTTCTTACTGTGTAAGCCCAACAGGAAAAGGAAGTCCATGATTTTTGGTTGCAGTGTGATCTCCTAGGCCCAGGATTGGTGCGTCGTGAACGGGTCATTAAAAGCAGGGATGAATCTGTCGTGATGGTGCGCCCCTTCACCATGGTGCCAAATGTGATTGAGCTGTCATACTACAGCAATGTACTCTTGTCTCATTTTGTTCTGGACAGCGTCGTAGGTGAGTGTCAACCCCAGTCATGTCATAATGTGGCATCATCTGATATTATTAGGGTCATTACATCAAGAAAGCTAAGTTAGGTTGGTCATGTAACAAGCATTGGCATACTTATGAGGATAGACAAACTATGCCATGAGGATGTTAATTGGCTCAGCATAGGGTCCAGCTGTAGGGTATTATGGTGCTGTTGCATGTGTCTGTAACAGTTGAGTGTCCAGCACTAGATCATCATCACACACATATCACCATGTGTTTTAACACAAATTTCTTACAGTCACTGCCCTGTACTCTCTTCTGTCTGCTGATCCAAACCCACCTGCCATGGTTGGCAGCTACCAGGTGCTACCATTCACAGAGGAACAGGTTCAGCAGTTTGCTCTGGATCTCTGTGAAGTCCTGCAATTTGAATTCATCTTCACCCAGCCATGTCGGCAGCTGGAGACAGCCATTGAAGATGTTCTCACCCAGTTCAGATACAAGGAGATCCTTTTGTGCAGTGAGGTATGCCATGTGTATAGCCCTGTGTGACAGCGCAGCATCGCATTTCCTGGTGTGTGTGTGATGAGTACCTCTCTGTTGCAGCCCACACACTCCGAGAACCATCAGTGGGCCATGAGGTTCGTGAAGAACTTCAGTGGTGACAGCAGTGACTCTGGTGATGAGAAAGGTACAGACAGGAGGAGTACACAGACATTGATGGTGAGACAGTGCTCATTGTTTATGAGATGAAAGTTCCTCAAGTACAGTCCTTTCTCTGATTGAAGACTCTTCACTCATTACATCAGATGCGCTCTCAAATCGTCTTCATTTGTAGTGGGGTTGATCTCACAACCTCTGTCTCTCCATGTGCTTCATCATTAGCCACCCTAAATGGGTCAATGCTGGTTTAACATAAATGTTCTTCTTCACCAAATGCCTCCCACCATAAAATGTAGGCAGTATTTTTATGTTACTAAAACAGGCCCCAGGCTAGTGGGCCATATCAACAGAATGTGCAGTTGGTTGGAAGGACCTGAACAAAGACATCAGATCCTGGGTCTCATAAATGATTATTAGTATCTAGAAAGATTTATGAATCACTGAGATCACGAGTTTTATCGTATCAGCATTGTCCACTCAGTGCAGTATAGTATAGTATAGTATTTATTGCATTCAAGCAAATCCAATTACAGGCCAACACCACTGGACACAGAACAAGTCAAATATCTTCAACAAATGCTCCAACAATGGAACTAGTCAACATAAAATATACATCAACCTAAAATATACATAACACAATACCATGTTTAATTGTAAATAAAATAAGTTAAAATTGTAATAAAAACACATTACATAATAAATTCATTCAACTTAGTAGCTTATATATCTCAAACCATAAAAGATCACAACATCCATCAACTATAATGAGGTATGTTTGTTACATGGCAAGTTGGCAATTATATCTTACATGTTCAATACCAAATAAANTCAGCAAAGGATGCCGCTCATCGTATGAAATATTACACTTCGCAGCTGCATTCCAGCGAGGTCTCAGGAACCGTTGGGAATATCGCTGGACCAGCGGCTTCGAAGATGTAATTGTAAAAGGTTATTGGAGGATTTGAAGTAACACACCCGCCTTCCGTTTGAATGATCGAATGAGAAGCGATGATGGAATATATCTGCGAGGGTGGGGAGAATTAATGTCCCCAAACTCGAGGATGTAGTCCGGGCTTCGAAACACTTCTGATTCGGTCATTCTTACCGATAGACGTGTTTCTGCATATGGTAAAACGTTTAACAGTGTGTAAATGTAATGTGTGTAATCCCTACGGACAGAAGTGTTTCAGCCTATGATAATAAACAGTGAGTAATTGTAAGGTGTGTCGGCGTGATATTAGTACCCTTGTTCTACTCATAATCCAAGACCCGTATAAAGACCTGAGAAGGAATTTCACTGCCTACCGAAACCACACCCAACAACGGAAATCAAAGGGCGTAAGAGCGGTTGCAAAAGTGAATGAAAATAAGAATAGTAAATCATTTTTAATGTTTCAGTAGGCATGATGGGCATAATAACCCTCATTGAATAACACGCCTTACACAACTTAGGTATGAGTTGGGATATATGGGCCTTCCAAGTACACGTAATGCCAGTAACCTTGGAACTGCAATTAGCTGCCCATAATTGACATGTTAGTCACATACTCCAACTGAAAATTGTGGGTAAGTTGTTCAGATTGTTGCAGTCACTGTGTAGTCATGCAGGATCAATGTATGAATAGATTTTCAGCTCAGGACAATACCCACCCCCATATTAGGGGCTTGCCACCTTTATCTGTAGTTCGTTTCTTTAGAACTGAAAACGATTCTGAGAGACACTTTTGTCCAGAAGAAGTGAAGCGGGTTTTTCTTATTCCATCGTTAGAAAATATTGTCTTGATGTGAATCAGTATATGGGGACTCAGTAGAATACAGTGGTTTTGTTTCATCCCCCCCCCCAGAATTTTCAGGCCTAACTTTGAAGGTCTTTGATGCAGTAAGTAATGGAAGTTAACTCTACCTTTTTAGCATCCTTTAGTTTGTGTTCTATCACACTGTAGAGGAAATTTTAATAGAAATAGGTTACAGAGCAGAATGGACTCATGGATATCTTGTTATTTACCCAAGAATTTAAATTTTGTCTTTTCTGTTCCAATTTCCTCTCGCATGTCTGTAACCTAAACCCAGTGAGAACAGTAATTTGATTTGTTTGATTTGTCCTCTTTTTTTGTGCCATTTGTTGAAGTGAGCCTAGCAAAATTCCTGTACCTACCCAATTATCAGTATGACTGAGTAAGCTTTTGCTAATATGTCATCATACTGAAATTAGTTTTTAATTTTACTTTTAAGAGACTGTTTCCTTTCCATTTGCTGGGTCAAGAATTATGCTCAGATGTTCTTTAAGGTTGCCTTTTTACTGACTGTAATGAGTTGTCAGTTGAAGAGAGATTTTCAGTAAATTTTGAAAGGTAACTGTTAAAACAATTTACACTTTTTAGGGAATGTCTCATTTCAGTATTATTACAGTTTATTGGTGCTGTTTGAGCATTACATGGTTCTTTCCATACCATTTGTTAGTTTTACCATATCCTCAGTCAGTTGTTGTCTTTCTTTCTTTCTTTTTAAAAAGGAGAAGGCATATCAGCTGAAATGTATTTTAATTAGACAGAAAGAATTTTACACCCTTGTTGAACAAAGAGGAAATCAGATGTTAATGATAAACAGAAACATGAGGTTTTTCTCATTGATGAAATTTAGAGCGCTCTCTGTGCCTTGTGATGTCATGTTGGCAAGACTGTGCAGCACCGTATTCAAAAGGTTAGAAAGAATAAACTGTAATAGGATTCCACCTCTCTCCTAAAAGCAGACACATTTGATGTAGTACAGAGCGTGGAAAGCAAGAAATGCTCTTATACAATAAATTTTTTAACAGTGCTGAATCAGTTGTGGGAGCAATTTTAACAGTGTGAGTATTTGAAGAGGTGACAGTGAAGGCACTTTTGTTCCAGCTCGACACACGGGAGGAAGCCCTTCAGAGTCTGGAGTTCTACCATGCCCTTCTGCGACCACTGATTGACGTGTATGCAGTGAGTGCACTGGGGCTGCACCGACTTGTGGGTCGCCAGCTTACTGAACATGATTACTTGCAGGAGTTGCTGTTGGAAATGAGGACACAGCTCAAGATGGGGTTTGCCCAGTATGGTAAGCTTCAGAACAGTCAGGCTAGACTGCAATATTGTCAGTAATTTGTCTTTATTAGCATGTTAAAATGATACCACCTGAGCAGGTAGACATTAGAGAAGCTGGAGGTTCAGCACTACAGTCACTCACTGCAGTCGTAACCATGAGATGTGACTAACCGAGATCTGTTTCCCAAATGATGTCCCTACAAAGGTTCTCTTTTCTTCTTTCCCTCGCCTGAGCTGATGTCCGGCAATGAAACTTGCCTCAGCTTTAGAATAAATGTAGATTTAAGAAATTCTTTCTTATGTAATTTTCACCATTCGGCTCCTACTTCATCTGTGATACTGTAACTGTGGTCATCTGGGTTGTGAGAAATAGTCTGCAAAGTAATTGCCAACATTTTGGAAGAATGTACTGGTACCCACAAACCCACAAGGCTGTAATCACAGTATAAGGTTTCATTGATAAGAACTGAAATCTGATCACAGATTTAATAAGGTGAAGAAAGCGAACATTTTTATATGTTTTGTGGATAGTAGTCAGTTGTTCCTGGATATCTGTTTAAACTTCCAAACATATACAAAGTTGCTTGTTGTTGTTATAATGCGCTTCTGTTGTGGATTATAATATTATATTTAATGTTTTGTTCTTTGCTAGCCCGTTTTAACGTAGCAGCTGTTCAGGTCCAGCCCTCCCTGACTCTTGACATTTCTGGGAACAAGAAGCCACACTCATTTAACCATTATGAACTCAAAATGCAGTAGACATTTTTAACTTTTTCTTTGTTTATTTCTTTACAGAGGAAAGTTTATCTGTGGATCCTTTTAAGAATTCACTGAAGCTATTTGAACGTTGGGAAGTGCTTGAGTGCCTGTCACATGACCGAATTAAACTTTATTACCTGAGGGACGAGTTTGACAGTGAGCGGAATGTACAAACAGTGTTTGAGAAAGTGAAGAGGTTCAAATGGGCTCCTGTGCCAAGTGGTGCTTCTTGAGGACTGGGACATTCGTCTTCCATAATAGGTACAAACAGCTTGTTTCTAATTGACAGTAACATTGGAGTGTCTCCTGATCGACAGTAACGTTCGAGTGTCTCCAGTACTGTGGCCCATACAGATTATAAGGGAGATGCAGGCAGGAAGGCTCTTATTAATACTCAATGGGCTGGGTTCATTTAATTTGGTGAACAAAACATTGAACTTGCGAGATTTGAGGTTGTGATAGCAGTGACCTTGAAGTGGGATGTGATGCTGCGTAGTCTGATAGAAGTTCACTGATATTATGCCAGAAGCTGGTGCTTGCTTCCTGCTCTTTGCTTGTTCAGCATATCTCCCTCCCCGAAGATGGAGGCCCTGAATTCCTGCATAATATCAGTTATCCTCTGCTGGACTGTGTGGCATCACATTCTGGAAGACAGTACCCTTCGTAACTTCAGACATTTGTGCCTTAACTGTGATGTTTTTTGACGAAATACACAAAACCTTTACGCATCCCATTAGTCATCAGTTATTGTGTTCTTGTTATTGTGTGTGTGTGTGTTTTAGATTTTAACAAAGTGTATCTAAAATATCTATTATACTGTTTTTGTAGGGAAGCTGCAAATATATTGAATAAGCAGTTGCGGACAGCCGACAAGGGGTGGTCCTCCAGCTTGGGGGTTGGGCTTGGGGCTAACAACTCACCGTAAAAAGTAATTATGTTACCAAAATGACCACAACGCCTCGGACCTGGACAGATTCCTGGATAAACGACCTAAGCTAAAGAAAATGGATATGAGATTTGGCACTTGGAATGTTCAAAGGTTGTATAGGGCAGGTTCACTCAGGGCAGTACCAGAAGAAATCTTAAAATATAAGTTAGATTTAGCGGTAGTACAGGAGTCAGATGGGACGGATGTGGCATAGAACTAGAAGGCGAATATACATTTTTCTATGGAAAGGGGAAAGAAAATCATGAATTAGGTACGGGTTTTTTTTTGTACATAAGAGAATCGTATCAGCAGTTAAGAGGGTAGAGTTCGTTAGTGAGAGGATATCATATATAATACTAAAAGGTCGATGGTGTAATATCATCATTACGAATGTTCACGCCCCAACAGAAGATAAAATTTATGACATAAAGCACAGGTTCTGTGAAGAACTAGAACACGTATTTGATAAATTCCCGAAGTACCCTTTGAAAATTTTGTTACGAGATTTCAATGCCAAAGTAGGGAAGGAAGACATTTTCAAACCAACGATTGGGAATGAGGGTTTACATGAAACTAGTAATGATAATGGAGTTAGAGTAGTAAACTTTGCCACATCAAACAAACTTACTGTCAGAAGTACAATGTTCCCACATCGTAACATCCATAAATTTACTTGTGCACCATCCGGGCACAGGAACAGCTTGCTTGCTAACGTGGTGTATGCAAGCCTCCTAAGTTGTATCAGGGATCTCGAAGCTAGAAAACCGGGCAACACAAGCTGGTAATTTAGGAGAGGGCAAGTGAAGACAGGAAATCAAATGGAACCATAAATAAGCCAGGACTGTAGTAGAATGAGCGCATTAGGAAGAGACAAGGCTCAACACAGTTGTTAACTAAAATACATATAACTATATTCTGTGATATGAGGTAAGGCCATCGGCATAAACAACACAAAAATAGAAAAGAAATAATAATAATACAAACTGTCCCACAAGGGATAATGCAAACATGAATGAAATGAAGGTCACACACACGACGTTAACTTTTCCAAGTACCATACTTACGTAAGTAATAAAATACAAACTAAACGGTTTTACCTCGCAAATGAGCCAGATGCTTTACCATGACCCGCGAGGGCTCGTTTCCCCGAACGCCATGCTAAATGGCCAAGACAGAATTTCAAATCACACGGTTAAGCCGAAACTCAATTTCAGAGCTAAGGGCAACTGCCCAGATGGTGGCTACTAGGGGAAAGGAGACCGACCCTAAGGCTGGCAGAAGTATTAAGGGAAAGAAGGGGGGGGGCACGTGACTACCACATCACGAAAGAGCATAATCAGAAAGAAGGAAACATGGCTTCTGCGGAACACTTCGGTAGACGGAGGGGGTCCAAAGACCCCAGTCACAAGGAACCGTTAAACACGGTTCACTGGAGATGACACTCAAGTATACTTGATGTCCGATCATTCAGTGCAGCAGATTGTGATACTGACCACCACCTGCTGGTGGCTAATGTTAAGGAAAGACTGGCAGTGAGCAAACAAACAACACACAGACTTCATATGGAGAGGTTCAATCTCAAGAAATTAAACAAGGTAGAGGTTAAAGAGCAGCATCATGTTGAAACCTCAAATAGGTTCACAGCTTTGGAAAACTTAGACACTGAGGTGAACTTGATAGAGCCTGGAAAACTATTAGAGAGAATATCAAAATTTCAGCCAAAGAGAGCCTAGGTTATTATGAATTGAAGAATCATAAGCCATGGTTCGATGAAGGATGCTCAGAATTATTAGATCAAAGAAAGCAGGCCAAACTGCAATGGTTACAGGATCCAAGCACGTTAAATGGGGATAATCTGAACAATATAAGACGTGAAACCAGCAGGCATTTCAGGAACAAAAAGAGGGAATATCTGAAAGACAGAATTGATGAGCTTGCAATGAACAGTAAGAACGAGAACATAGAGATTTGTATAGAGGAATAAATGACTTTAAGAGGGGTTACCAACCTAGCAGTAACTTAGTGAAGGATGAGAATGGTGATCTTTCATATTCCCACAATATTTTGAATAGGTGGAGGATCTAGTTCTCTCAGTTATTGAATGTATATAGGGTAAGTGATGTTAGGCAGGCAGAAATCCATACAGCTGAGTCATTAATACCTGATCCTAGCCCCTTTTGAGGTTGAAGGTGCTATTGCAAAATTGAAATGGTATAAATCGCTAGGTAGTACATCAGCTGTTCATAGACTTGAAGAAAACCTATGATTCAGTTAGAATTGAAGTATTGTACGGTATTCTGATAGAGTTTTGTGTTTAAATGAAACGTATAGTAAAGTCGGTGTAGGTAAATATTTGTCAGATAAATTTCCTATCCAGGATGGTCTAAAACAAGGAGATGCCTTATTGCCACTCCTTATCAACTTTGCTTTAGAATATGTCATTAGGAAGGTCCAGGGAAACCATGAGGGGCTGAAATTAAACAGAAAACATCAGCTGTTGGGCTATGCTGATGATGTGAATCTACTGGGAGATAATGTAGATACCATAAAGAAAAACACAGGAACTTTAATTGACGCAAGTAAGGAGGTTGGTCTAGAAGTAAACACAGAGAAAACTAAGTATATGTTGCTGTCTCGTCACCAAAATGCAGGGCAATTCATGACATAAAGATAGCTAACAGGTGTTTTGAAAATGTGGCACAGTTCAGATTTTTGGAAGGACTGTAACAAATGAAAACTGGATTCAGGAAGAAATTAAGAGAAGAAAGCCGTCTTTTGGGATTTGGCACCGTGTATAAGTGGTGTTAACCGACGTTTCGGAGGAACGTATCGCCTCCATCTTCAGGGTAGAAGAAAATATAAGAATTCTGCAAGCGAAGAGACCGTGAGAACCGGTAAAAGCAGACAGCTATGTGAGAGCAGTGAGGGTGAAGGGGGAAGGGCAAGTATACAANTCAGATCCAGAAGGCCACACAGGCCATGACCAACCAACATAACAACCACCCCCACCCCCCTCAGCCTACGGATTAGTGCCCAGCCTTTAACCTTGCCTTTCTCTTCCCTACATAAAAACCACGCTTGTCCCAGCTCCCTTTCCCCTACCCCTCCCACACTACTGCTTTCACTTGTATACTTGCCCTTCCCCCTTCACCCTCACTGCTCTCACATAGCTGTCTGCTTTTACCGGTTCTCACGGTCTCTTCGCTTGCAGAATTTTTATATTTTCTTCTACCCTGAATATGGAGGCGATACGTTCCTCTGAAACGTCGGTTAACACCACTTATACACGGTGCCAAATCCCAAAAGACTGCTTTCTTCATAGTCACCGCCGTGAAAGCCTCAAATCTTACAAATTAAGAGAAGATTGAACTTGGGTAATGGTTGCTACCATTCAGTCCAGAACCTTTTGTCTTCTTGTCTGCTGTCCAAAATCATAAAAATTAGAATATACAAAACTCTAATTTTGCCTGTGGTTCTGTATGGGTGTGAAACTTGGTCTCTGTCATTAAGGGAGGAACATAGGCTGAGGGTGTTTGAGAACAGGGTGTTGAGAATATTTGGACCAAAGAGGGATGAAGTGACAGGAGGTTGGAGAAAACTGCATAATGAGGAGCTTCATAACTTGTACTCTTTCTCCAAGTATAATTAGAATGATCAAGTCAAGGAGGATGAGGTGGGCAGGGCATGTGGCACAAAAGGGGGAGGCAAGAAATGCATATAGGATATTGATGGGAAAGCCAGAAGGAAAGAGACCACTGGGAAGACCAAAGTGTAGGTGGGTGAACAATATTAAGATGTATCTTAGAGAGATAGGGTGGGATGGGATGGATTGGATTGATCTGGCTCAGGATAGGGACCATTGGAGGAATCCTGTGAATACGGTAATGAACCTTTGGGTTCCATAAACTGCTGGGAAATTCTAGAGTAGCTGCAGAATTGGCAGCTCCTCCAGATGGGCTCAGCTCCATGAGTAAGTAAGTAAGTATTATACTGTTTTTGGGGGGCTAGTGTTGGGCCTAGTCTAGTGAAGATGGGTATGAACGTGATTGATGCCAGTCAGTAAATTGAGTCCTTACACCCTCAAGAGCTTTGAGACTGCTGATGTGGTTCTGTAGAAGGATGGTATTATTTCCAATGTGACCCATGTGTCATGTAGATTTTAACTTTCAGAACATACATTCCAACTGAAGTCGTGAGTCTCAAGCCCCAAAACCTTACTGTCGTGTTGCTTGTCCATTTTGGAACAGATTTGGCACTATTTTGGTGCTCATGTTATAATGCAGATCCATAATTGATTTTCAAAATGATATCTGGGTACCTAACTTTGTGCCTAATATATGTGGTTCTCACAGCAATATATATTAATACTCTGGGATGTCACATTATATAATCTAGCAGATGGGATGGGCACCAATGATTTGAAGGAACCTGCAGCCTTTGTCTCCATTCTTATACCTTAAAATGGAGGCAGCGCCCTCCACACTGTCACCATCTACCAAAGTACATGACATCATATCCGGAAAGACAGTCGTCTTACTGTTGGTCCGTGCAGGTCCCATTGACTGCACAGTGAAGCCTTGAAGAGTTTTTTGTTTGCCTAAAACCTGACTTTTGCCACAGCACTAGTAATGGCTTATATTGATTGCTGTAGTTCTTTGGGAGAAGGACGCCTATATTTTGTTTTAAATCAAATTAACAAATAGGTACTATGATGTGTTTGGATAGGTTGTTATAATTCGTTATCAAAAATGGTAGATTCCCATTAATTCCTTGAAAGAACAGTTCTTGCAGAAATTCAGATTTGTTACAAGATGATGTCAGTGACTGAAAATTGTTTTTGCTTGATTTTCTAAATTCATGATTCTGTTGGTAGGTTGAAACCCTGACTAACATTTAGCATATATATAGCTGAAACCAGGAGAAACAGTTTTGTTCTTGTGTTGAGTCTTCCATAATTCAGTCGGGTTAAATAGAAAACTGATTGACCATTAACTGCCAAGCAGCGAAGTATTACAGTGGTGTTTATGTGGTTCAGCTACAGTAGCATTGCAGTATTGTAATTTTAAAATATCGTTGCATATTAATGATTAGACACAGATTGGTAATTGAATTTATTGGATGCTCATAGCTCATAAGTACAAATGATATAAGAAGTTTCACTAATTTACATATACCACATAAATCACTACAACTACAGCACACACACAGAAGTTATCTGTTTAGTATTCTCTTGGCACTAGTCATTGCCAGGTAGTGACTGCTAACAGTAGAGATTTGCCATGGCCAACCACAAACTGCTGTCGCTTGCAACTCGTGAATGACTGACCGCTCAATTGCTGCTTCTGGACCTTGCCAGCACAGTGATTCTCGGTTCCGAGTCCCACAGGACTCATGCCCATTACTCTGAGGCTCTGGGAGCCTTTAGACTGGCTGCTGCTGACCCTCATTATACAACCTTTCATGGACAGCGCAGAGAAAAACACTGTGCCTCCTTTCTTTGTGTCACAGTATCTTTTGCAATCGAAACGTGTTTACTGTGCCGCTGCCTAGCAATGGCTGCTTCCACCTGTTCCACTATTCTGGCCTTAGCCATCATGTCACACAATATTCTTCAGTTTGAAGCCAGTTTATAGGTGCTGGGGCACTGGAATATTGTTCACTGCTCTCTACAGATGCTGTTGGTGATTCATAAATATTGAACTTGCAAGGTTTATTTTTAGCTCGAAAGGATCAGGGTTTACAAGTAAGTATACACATAATACAGTGAAAGCCCAATTTAAGGTACATCTTTATTGTCCCGACCAAAGCCTAATATGCTTGCTTAATGTATTATTTTCCTGTTTTTTTTCCCCTCAGTTAAAGGCGTACCCAGATATCTACAAAGCTTATATGCGTATGCATGTTTTAAATCTTATTTTAGAACTGGAGAGAATTTGCATATTCTGACTCATGTGGTCACTCTTGCACATTTAAGGTCATCAGCTACGTGGCATGCAGGCCAGCATGGCTGTCTGTGCCCATGTGCTAGCTGGAAGTGGTTATTGCATGTTCCTTTGGTGTTCAATTAAAATGTCATAGTTTTTTGGAAGTGATTTTTAAGTAATGCGTGACCATTGTAGTGAAAGTTAACAACAAGTGAGAAAGTGAAAATCATTCAGGAGGTGGAAAAGAGTCAAACTATGTCAAAAAAGAAACTGCAGAGTGTTTTGTGCTGCCTCTGTTGTCATTTAGTAACATAATTCTACAAATTCGTGAAGAGGAAGTTAGTGGGGGGCACATTCTGAGATATGAAAAAACTTTCAGTTTATTAAATGAACAAAGATTCAGTGCCATATTATTAATTTAAGTAAATTCAGCTGTTATTTTAGGCTCTGTGTTCCAAGATATGTAAGCAATGTCCGTCTTTTAGTGCACTCAATTTTACTTGTTACGTCACAACATGTTTCGGCACTACAGTGCCATCATCANCAACCAAACAGGGAACACGCAACACGAGACACAATATACCCTGAGAATAAGAGGAACGACTCCCATAGTGGTGAAACTATGCATGGTGTTAGAATTGGGACAGATACGATAAATAATCTTAACAAGTTTTTAGTGTATATATATTTATTATAATTGATGTACATTTTTAAATTCTTTTTAAATTTTACAGTGATGTAATGGCAAGCAATGAAACAGATTGACGTAAATAGAGCACCTGATGATGGCACTGTAGTGCTGAAACATGTTGTGAAGTAACAAGTAAAATTGAGTGCCCTAAAAGACAGACATTGCTTACATATCATGGATGAAGATCAGTGCAACAGGACGCTAAAATACAACATCTGTGTTCCAAAACCCACAGTTAAGATATAAAAACCTGTCCCCCTGGCAGACCTAAATTCAGGGTTTCACATGTTTTGTGTTGGTTGTTTCACAGTTCTTTCAACATTTCTGGAAACAGTGATTTTTATAACCGTAAATAACACTGTAGAACTGGTTAAAGTTTTGTTCTACAATATTTTATAGTATAAATGCTTCCAGTCATGCATTTATTGTCTCAAGATTAATATCATCACTAGGTAAAGCCCCTGATTTGTAATTTAGCCCCTCCAACACAGAACATTTCAGTTCTGTGAACCCCCATGTAGGAGATAAGGTTAAGAATAAAAGCAGAAAAGAAATCTGAAATTTTCAAGCTTATAGTTTATAGCTAATCAGATCATCATGTGTTCCAGAATGCCAGTCACCAAGATGTCTGACTGCCTGTAATGGGGTATGTTAGTTTCAGCCAGTTCCATGATACAAAGTATCCTCTGTTGACACACAAGGAAATTGTGATCCATTTCCATTTGAACCAGTTCTATTTAGTTCGTATAATCACAACAGATTCCTGTTAAGATCCATATGATATTGAGTTCTTCCTCTCTTCAATACGGATGTGTTGTCCTTGGACTGGCAGGGACAGGACTCCCATGTCTTGGTGTGCATTCTGGTAGTGGAGGACCTGCAGCTTATACTGCAGCTGTTCCAACTGAAGGAATGAGAATTCATATAGATTTACTTTACCATAATACAAACAAATGCAGCTGGGATAAAGTACAATGCAGGCTCATGACTGATGCAACAGAATTCCAAGGAAATAAAGTAAATATGAGACTAAGAACAGGGTGGAACAGAATCACATTGGAAAAAACAGAGGAATGTAAATCACAGATCACAGAAAGTCAGAATGTGTGAAAGTTTATGAATGAGCAAAGGTGGAGTTGCAAATGGAGAAACCTGATAAGAACTCTTAAGAAAATTACAAGGAGCTGTGGACAGGGATACATTAAAGTGACCTGGGAATAGGTTGAAATATCAAGGATAACCTCCAAAAGAGGGAAAGATAATGATCCCAGAGGTCAGAGAAAGGTAAAGTTATGAAAATAACTCAGGAGGCTTTAACCCTTTGACGTGGTCATTTAAATTCCGCGGCCGCGGCTCCTGCGGTAATATATTCAGCCGGCCATTTAAATTTTGCTCGAAAATTATTTATTCATCATTGTTCTTAAATTCTATGAGATAGGAACATGAAACTTTCACTAAAATGATCTTAAA